TAAATTATCAAGAAAATCAATACTTATTCCAGTCCTATGGAACGATGTCGATTTCGAATATAACTATAGATACCAATGAGATTGTTACTGGTAAACATCGATTGACCGTTGAATGTAATGCTAGAAATGACGAAGGAACCACATCTAAGCAGCATGTGATCAAGATTCTTGGTATGTGAATCTGTAACATGGCTATAGCGTTCAGAGTTACCAGTTTATTCGTTTAGCTCCCCCATTGCCTCCACGAATTACGGGTCTTGAGGAAGGCATACATTTGGAAGGACTTGTGCTCAATGTGAGCTGTGAAGCTCATGGTGGAAATCCACTTGCTGATATCTCTTGGTATAGAGGATACGATAAGGTATGAATAGTTTAGCAAGAGTTTCGGTGTTTTTGAAATTCTGAAGAATATCTGAAAAATTGTTTTCTTTGAGAAATTAAAAGGAAGGCGGAAACCGCGTTGGTCAAAGGTGAGATTTCTAGCAAGTTTCAGTGGTGGTCCAATGCTTCGTGATTTGTAAAAATTGTTGTGAACAAAGCTGAAGGAGCATGAACCCGCTAGACCATATACAGTCTTGTTCGCTGCGGATGCTGGTGTGTGTCAGGGGCTGAGTTTGGCTTGGCGCCAGAACTTTTCCACCAACTGCGGCCGCTTGCCAGCTTCCGCAGTTGATGGAGAACGAGTGGCGCCGCGCCAGACACGCAGCAGCATATGCAGCGAACGAGACTAGAGCGGCTTAGGAAATCCGTTATTAAAACACATCCAGAACCTGACCTGTTTTCTGCAGAAGCAGCATCGATCAACCTTCACAGGTGTGGGCTAAAAGGTCCGTTCCGCGATGTATGAAGGCCAGGTTGCGCTGTTTTTCAAACCTGTTTTGCTACTGACATTTTAGCGTCAAATCGATAACCTCCTGGGGCGGATACTGCGCACGCGGCACCGTAACTCCGATCTCCTGACTGACACCTAACTTTTGCTTGTATGTAACGCTGGTTCCCGTCGCATAGCAGTCGAATTTTCCGCTCGCCGCGCGCGACATGAATAAACCGCACCGTAACCTCATGTTAAGCGGTCACTGCGCAGTGTCTCGGGCAACCCTCGCAACTCAGAATGCTGCTCATCTTCCTGGTACTCTTTGCAGCGCAGAGTGCAGTTCATGAAACTTTACCGCCCCTCGCTAGTTGACGTTACACAGTAAATCAGAAACTAC